TGAGTGTTAATAGATCCAAAAATAGAGGTAAGACTGATGATGAAGGTGCACTGAGTGTTAATAGATCCAAAAATAGAGGTAAGACTAATGACGAAGGTGCACTGAGTGTTAATAGATCCAAAAATAGAGGTAAGACTAATGATGAAGGTGCACTGAGTGTTAATAGATCCAAAAAGGAAAACAATGAAGATTATGGTTCAGAGAGTAAACAAAGTAAAAGCTGAGCTACTGAAATAGAAGCAAGACCAGAAACTGATCAGAAGCTAAGCAAATTTTTATACCAATTGTAAGAAAGCAATTCTGAAGAGTTATATTAAGAGATTAACGTTCTATCTCCAACTTAGATGTGATCCCATTTAGAAGTTCGTCAAACAACCAAACGAAACAGAGGATGAAAATAAACTGGATATTATCAAAAGATGGAGGTTTACAAAGCTGGGCTGCTACAATCAATATTAAACTGGTCATTTAAAAAAAAGCTAAAAATTTGTTTAACCTTCGTTTGATTTTGACATCTGTGACGTAAAAGCGTTCAAGTGGTTCACATCTGGTTAACCTCCTCTTCAGTGGGCGCGTCCATCTTAGATGATGACATTTCCGACTGATATTAAAGATGGTGCTTTCCAATGGCTACGGACATCTTTAATGACGTCACATCCAATGGTTTCTAGCTGAAACCTAGTGGTGGCGCAGCCATCTTGGACGTGACAAAATATGATTTGTACAAAAATACGATACCCTATAACCCAAGTACTTGGACCTTTCTTCTTCAAAGGGCAAACTAGGAAGAAGAAAGGTCCACCTTTCGAAAGCAATCGGGTTATAGGGTATCGTATTTTTGTGTTAAAATGATTTCTTCAACCTACATATTTTCCTAACATTATTAATAATAAGTTTGTTTATGAAGAAGTCCCCCCTCCAATTCATTCTATTTTAACACAAAATGAGACAAAGAAAGCTTCTCCATGACTGTCGGGCGATTTTTACTTTGAAAGTCATACCGCCACGTCAAGGCTTCGTCCTTTGGTATGGTCATCCATTCCTTTTTTCATTTCAGTTCAAAAGAAGAAACACTTTGGGTAGACATTGTCACCAAAGTACTGAGGAAGAATAAACTAACCACACAGACTGGTTAAATATTTTTTTCATTCCGCGGCAGGGACTAAAGTTTACGAAGGTTTCTTCCATACCAAGGACATTTATACCCACACACACACACACACACACACTGTAACCCAATATTCGATCAAGTTTTGATTCAATAAATATTTTATTTTCTTCACAGATTAATTATACGATACATCAGACTACCTCTGATTAATTAGAATGACCAGTTAGGATATAAATATTCATTGTGTGTATTCAAACGTTTGCTATGAATATTTAATCTCGTTTTTGATTCTAAACGTGTCCTTAGCACTTATGTCAGCATCATGTCTCAGCCGTATTATTATCATCATTACATACTTACACTAAATACTAATATAATTTTGAAAATAAACTAATCTTCACATAAACGTTTCATAATTATTGCTTTTATTTTTGTAGAAAAGTTCAAATAATGCTCCTCTCGGTCATTCAGACCCTGTTAGGATTAATGCATATTTTTTATCTAAGTGTATTAGATTATGTTCTGGTTTAATGTTTCTAGCTTTTCTTTCTTTTAATCTGACTGTAGTATCCACTACAAGATAAATCTTTTACCTTGACATCTTTATTGTTTGGGTTTTGTTATATTTTCAATGCCAACATTTACAGGTTAAATATATTAGTAAATCTGTATCTTACAGTTTGCTGACGTTTAATCTTGTATTTTAGTCGTTTATCAGTATACAACAAAACGAAATTTCTTAACTTGATTTCTTCCTCGATTTACGTGTTTTATAATATTCATAGTAACTCTATTTATTTTCCCCCGAAGAAATACGAAAGTCTTAGCTACTTCATTGTTAATTTTTTTCCTGTTTATTACATCAATACCTATTGTTTCGTTCTCAAGTAAACGAAAAGGATCACACAAAAGAATTAACCTATTGTTTTACAACTTTAACCGATGGTAATCATCATTCGTGGTGCTGCTAAACTTAGACTTATCCCTAAATTTGTTAATAGTACATTTTGAAGAAATCTACAGACTTTAATATCCAGTCTCCAATAATAGCTTTTTATTCTTCTTTTTCCTTAGTGATTACAATCCGAGTGAGTAATATCTTTAAACGAAGAATAAGTAAGATAAACTGCAGACGAAACTGGTAAAGACATAGCTAAACTGTACTTATTTAAGATTACACAAAGTGATATCCTTACCTTGCTAACACAGAAACTCGGTCTCGCTTCAATTTGTGTTTTCCATCGTTGTTTAACTACACAATTTCAATTTGCTTGAAAGAGCGGTAGTAACTCTAATGATGAGGTTGTTGCATTAGTTCATAAATGCAGCTCCTGAGTAGATACGAAAGCTACTTCTGTAAGAAGCATCCTTTTCTGCCTTTCTTCTCAAACCCTAGACTCTGTATGAAACAACATCCAGCTCTCCGAGTGTTTTATAAGCACAACTAGAGCACTCGCGCCTAACATTAGCTCCTTTATGAACTTTGAGGAAACCAATGGCCACAAACCGCCATCTAGTGTTAATTTATAGCTCTATTTTTCAAAGCAGGCGTTCCACTTTGATAAACTTTATATTTAGGAAAAAAGAGACATCCAAAGAATTCTATTTCTACGTGTGGTTTTTTAAATACATTTTTAATCAATATTCAAGTTTTAGTTCCCAGTTTCGTCGCAGAAGTTTTCACTAAACAAAAGACAATTCAGATTCTTTAAAAGTATTTTACGAGTGAAATTTATAATGAAATTAACACGTTTTTTTTTTCATGATTATACCACACTGACGTTGTTTTTAATATAACGTTTATTTGTTACCACTTAAATTACAGTCTTACTAGTATACATATTATGGTCCTTCTATTATTACATAAATGCTGCTTAATGTGTTTCACACTTTCAGCTGTTGAAGTGTTGATAAGAATTACACTTAATACTGCTATTCGGATTGTTATGAGTGGCCAAATAGGCGGCGGATTTTCTAAGTGCTTGCCCTCTCTCTCTCTGTGTGTGGTCTGTAGCTATAAATTAAGGATGACCATAATCTGAAGCTTTACCTTCAGGTATCTGATTTGGCTATTAAGCCTATTTGTCACACAAGGTAGGTTCAGTTTGAGAATTGTTTGTTGGGAAACGCAAAGCTACACAATATCTACTTGAACTGTACATATGGCAGAGATCGAACCCCATAATTGAGTATTATAAGTCCATAAACTTTGTCATTAAGCCACTGGGAAGTAGACTGAAAATACTAACTAAATTTATGCTCATCAGGTTGTCACTCATAACAGAGACGTCCCGTAGATGTCAATGATGAGCCTAAGCCTTACTACACAACTAAAGCTGTTACACTTAACCAGTTAAAATAGAACATAATCTAGTATACTTAGATCGTTACTACACAACTAATGTTGTTACACTTAACCAGTTAAACCAGAACATAATCTAGTATACTTAGATCCTTACTACACAACTAATGTTATCTAAGTGTATTAGATTATGTTCTGGTTTAACTGGTTAAGTGTAACATCTAAGTATACTAGATTATGTTTCTGGTAAAGTGCAACAGCTTTAGTTGTGTAGTAACGGTCTAAGTATACTAGACTATGTTTCTGGTTAAGCTTTAGTTATGTAGTAACGATCTAAGTATACTAGACTATGTTTCTGGATAACTGCAACACCTTTAGTTGTGTAGTAAGGATCTAAGTGTACTAGATTATTTTCTGGTTTAACTGGTAAAGTGTAACAACCTTAGTTGTATAGTAAGGATCTAAGTATACTTGATTATGTTCTGGTTTAACTGGTTAGGTGTAACAACCTTAGTTGTGTAGTAAGGATTTAAGGGTATTAGATTATGTTCTGGTTTAACTGGTTAAGTGTAACAACATTAGTTGTGTAGTAATGATCTAAGTGTATTAGATTATGTTCTGGTTTAACTGGTTAAGTGTAACAACCTTAGTTGTGTAGTAATTTTTCCTTTTTCTCGGGTTTGGTTAATATGATATTATTTTATTATAATTCCATTTCGTGGAATGATCCTCTTTTAGGGTACGATGACGACTATTACAAATAAACTGGTATTAACGAGTGGTAAAAACTGACTACGTACCTGAATTATAGCATTTGCTGGTCTTTCCATTTCTCTAATGTATTGAAATCCACATCCAAAGCGGATGTTGTGAAAATTAGAATTCAGGAGCATAGATAACTTAGTAAAGAAAGAAGTATACTAGACTTTGTTTCTGGTTAAGTGCAACAGCTTTAGTTGTGTAGTAACGATCTAAGTGTACTAGATTATGTTCTGGTTTAACTGGTTAAGTGTAACAACATTAGTTGTGTAGTAACGATCTAAGTATACTAGATTATGTTTCTGGTAAAGTGCAACAGCTTTAGTTGTGTAGTAACGGATAACAGAAGCCTTCTACATCCACCTAAATCACAAGACAAACAACCTAGCATAGAAGTCAAAAGAAGCTTGGATACCCCTCTTGAAAAACCTGCAAATAGTTAATTGGCTGAAGTTTTAATGGGGTATACCCCAGTCGATTGGATAACGCATATAACTTTCTATTAAGAGTACCGACCATCGAATCTGGTTCAGAAGTGGTCTTTCTCAATATTAGCAATAGTAAGTAACTGATAATTAGTATCTCATTATACTAAATTTAAAACTAAATAGTAGATATCTACATTAATGATTAAAAGACTCTCCTCTCCCCCCGTGGGGCAGCGAGTAACCAATGGGGTTCGATTCCCCACGGTGGAACTTTGTTCTAAACAAACAAAAGTAATTAAATATTAGACTCACGTCATCATCTAGGTTACCAAGCATGATAACGTTAAGTCCTTACACAAAGACTGATAGTAGTACACTTAGGTCCGTATTATGAAGAAGAATATCATATAGTATATCCTTTACCTTGACTGTTTTTTCGTGTTTAATATCAGAAAATACCGGTGTTTAAATATACGTTATTTCATTATTTCAAAATTATCTAAGCCTAATAACATTCAACACAGTTAACCAGACTTTATATGTCGAAAGATAATGAAATAGTAATCTCAAATTTGAAGCACCAAACAATTCTTAAGTTTCGCCACACTTTAGGCTTTAACGTTCCGTCGTTAGATAAAGCCGAAATCCCCCCCCCCCCTTAAAAAAAAATCAAATTTACGTCTCTTTCAGTTGTGTCTGAAAGAACGTTATTGAGGCCAAATGAATGCAGTGTATAGTTAGAAGCCGCCTTTATTTCAATACGTTTCTTCGGACGACTGAAGGGAAGAAGAAGCAGACTACCAGTAGGTGTTATTAAATTTGGTGGATTTGGCAATATTCGAAAAAAAAAAAGATCGAAGTGAATTCTACTTAACAGACAAAATGTGAAGTTTCATCACTTCGAGTAACGAGAAATTGTTATTCTAAAATAGCAACAACTTTAAAAGTACAGATCAACCTTTTTGTTAATGT